AGATGGGGGGAGGGGTTAATAAAAAAGGCAATACAAGCAAACAGTATACAGTCATAGATATACCAAAGGTAAACAGAGAAACAGCATAGAGTATTTACATTAACAAATTTACAAAATATTTACAGATTGTTTATCATCATCATAATGACACCATGATGTTTCTATACAGTCTATGGTCTATACCCACACATACACACACACACCCACACACACACATTGAAGGGGCTTTTTGTTACCAATTATTTATTTTGTCATCCATTTATTGATGATTTTGCATCAAATGTTAGTGTGTAATATAACACTACACATTGTTTTCAATAAAAAAAGCAATTGCACACAGCACGCAAATGTGTGACTAATTTGCGATTAATCGCGAGTTAACTATGAAATTCATGCGATTAATCGCGATTAAATATTTTAATTGTTGGACAGCACTAATATATATATATATATATATATATATATATATTATATCCTGTACACTGCACAGGATGTTTTGACTCCAATGCAGACAAGATTTACATGGGTTTCAATGGGAACTGAGTTGTCCCATCTCTGCTCATAAGTACAAACTGTAATGCGCTGCAGAACGTGAGTCTATACTTTATGTCAAATGTAAACGGCCCTGTGTCACTGACTTACCCCTGTGTTTTCATCACGGCACATGTGAGTCCAACAACCAATGAATAGCACTAGCATATAGCGCCGCACCGCAAGTACACTGAGTCGGGGTGCGTTCACAGACGGTGGAAACCGTAGGAATTTTTAGTTTTCAGCGGAAACAGTGCGGAGAATACAGGAGGGAGGAACTTTCTCTCGTTGCGTTTCAAAAGAGAGACAGATTTCACTCAGTTTTAAATGGAAAACAAATTGTCTGCCGTTCATGACACATAATATGAACTAATTCACGTTCAAGTTCTTTATTAAAAAATGTGTTGCGTTCAGTTCAACGTTCACGAAAAAATGAGCGTGTTCAATGAACGCGTTCTTATGAACTCGTTCACGCACAACACTGGCTTTGGCCTGGGCCTTGCTCATTGGACCAGGCCACCAGGCAGGGTAGGAGTTTGCAAAGACCGTGAGGATGAAATTAAATTAAAAGAAAAAAAAAAAAAAAGACCGTGATGATAGGGCAGGCCCAGGCCACTTTGACACGCAGGCCACCGGGAGATCTCCCGATGCTCCCGATGGCCAGTCCGGGCCAGGACCGGACTAATATGTACTTCCTGGTTCTAGTCAGGACTCGAGCTGCTGCATTTTGAATGTACTGCAGCTGTTTTACAGCCTGTTTGGACAGACCTGTGAGCAGGCCATTGCAGTAGTCTAACCTACTGGAGACAAATGCATGGATAAGAATCTCCAAGTCTGCTTTAGACACTATGTTTTTGATCCTGGAAATGTTTTTTAGATGGTAAAAAGCTGCTGATGTTACTGATTTGATGTGGCTATTAAAATTTAAGTCTGAGTCCAGTATTACCCCTAGATTTCTGACCTTGTTTGAAGGTTTTAGGGAGAGAGACTGTAGATGACAGATGACGCTCTCTCTTTGTTTCTGGGGACCAAAGACAATCATTTCAGTTTTGTCTGCGTTTAGCTGAAGGAAGTTGTTTTGCATCCACTCACTGATCTGTTGGATACAGTGAAGGAGTGAGTCCACTGGTCCATGTTCTCCTGCAGTCAGTGAGACATAGATCTGAGTGTCGTCTGCATAGTTATGATAGGATACTTCGTTTCTGCGTATTAACTGACCTAACGGCAGCATGTAGAGATTGAAAAGAAGAGGTCCCAGGATCGACCCCTGTGGTACTCCACAGGTCAGGGCCATATGATCTGAGACACAGTTTCCAATCTCCACAAAGTACTTCCTGTCTTCAAGGTAAGACCTAAACCAACTTAGGGCGGTGCCAGCGACGCCAACCCAGTCCTCTAGTCTCTGTAAGAGGATCTCATGGTCGACAGTGTCAAAGGCAGCACTCAGATCTAACAAGATTAGGATTGAGACTTTGTCTGCGTCAGTGTTTAGCCGGATATCGTTTGTAACCTTGACGAGAGCAGTCTCAGTGCTGTGGTGGGGTCTAAAGCCGGACTGAAACATATCAAATGAGTTGTTGATTATAAGAAATCTATTTAGCTGTTGGTAGACAACTTTTTCAAGGACTTTCCCCATAAATGGCAGATTTGAGATGGGACGATAGTTGTTAAGTACCGTAGCATCGAGACTGCTCTTTTTTAGCAGGGGCCTGATGACTGCAGTTTTCAGGGCCTTTGGGAATATTCCAGAATGAAGGGACATGTTTACTATCTGTGTGAGTGAAGGTAACAGACTGCTCAGAACAGACTTTAGAAATCTAGTGGGTAGTACATCCAGGCTACATGTGGAGGCGCTCAGACTGGAGATTATCTCTTGGACAGTTTGATCATTTACAGGTGCAAAGTAAGTTAGCTCAAAGAGCCTTTTAGGCTGTTGGATGGTTATCTGTGGATTGGAGACAATGGCGTTTTTGATGCCTTGAACCTTGTCATTGAAAAAATGTGCAAACTCATTACATTTACGTTTGGAAGTTAGCTCTAATGGCATCTGAACAGGGGGGTTTGTTAATCTATTAACTGTTGAAAACAGAACACGCAGATTGTTGCTGCAGCCTTCAATCATTTCAGAAAAATACCTTTCTCTCGTACTACGTAGCACCCGGTTAAAATCGCACAACTTATCTTTGAAGATCTCGTAATCAACCTGGAGGTTGGACTTGCGCCACTTCCGCTCGGCCCTCCGGCACTCTCTCTTTTGTGCCCTGACCGAGTCTGCTTTAGCCCACGGCGCCTTCTGCTTATTTTTCACTATTTTAACCTTCACAGGAGCGATGGTGTCCAGAACATTCAAAACACTAGAGGTGACAGAGTTAAATAGTTCATCTACAGTAGAATACGATGCATTCCCAAAGTTTATCATTCCCATAAATAGTTCACCCGTATTTTCATGTATGTGTCTTCTTCGTACAGTTGCAGAGTCCACTGGTGGTTTGTTAGTGAAACACATGTCAAAAAATACACAAAAATGATCCGAAAGCGCAACATCGACCACGTTTACATTTGAAATATTCACCCCCTTAGTAACTAACAGGTCTAGAGTGTGCCCTCTGCTGTGAGTGGGGCCACTCACATGCTGAGTGAGACCAAAAGATTCAAGAACAGAACTCAGCTCTTTTGCCTTTCTGTCAATAACATTATCCACATGAATATTAAAATCACCTGTAATAACTAAGCTATCAAAATCTGTGCATAAAACTGAAAGCAACTCCGTAAAATTATCAATAAATCTGTGACATGACTGCGGTGGCTTGTATAGGACAATGAAGAGTATTGGACGAGATTGTTTTTGTTGTATTTTAAAAGACACATATTCAAAAGACGGAAACTTCCCAAGAGACATTCTATGGGAGACAAAGTGGTCTCTGAAAATGGCAGCTAAGCCTCCTCCTTTTTTGTTTCCCCGTATTTCAGATTCAAATTTGAAATTTGGTGGTGATGCTTCTATTAAAACTGCATTTTCTGTATTTTGGTCAAGCCATGTTTCAGCCATGAACATAAGATCTAGATTATAAGAACAAATAAAATTATTGATTAAAAAAGACTTGTTACAAAGAGATCTGACATTTAGCATAGCAAGTTTCAAAGTTTCAGTATCAGCGGTTGTGGTCGGCTGATTCTTACACGGAACAAGAATTAGATTTTCCTGATTAGACTGATTAACTTCAGATGTTTTTCTGTAATGTATTCTTTGTGTTATCACTAAAAGGAATGGCACAGGTGGCTTCATGACAGGGCCCCAGCCGGGTCTCTCCTCTAACTAGACTGCCAGTGGCTGTGAAGCAGAGACCCTGTGCATCCTAGTGTTTAGAGAAATGAGGGGAAGGGGAAGGTGGGGGAAGAGGATGGAGAGGCAGGTGGTTCTTGGGAGTTGGACGGGGAGGGGTTGAAGGTGGATGGGTTTTTGGTGATGGGTTAGGGGAGGGGCAGGCTGAGTTGGGTGGTGGACGAGGGGGGAGTGGAGGTGGAGGGTTTCTTGGTGCTGGGTTAGGGGGGAGGTGGGCTAAATGAGCAGGAGGGGGGGGGGTGGAATACTTATGGGGTTAGAGGAGGGACGGGTGGATTTTGTGGGAGAATTTGAGTTGGACGCCAACTCAAACTATATTTCTAAGTAAGTCTTTAGAAATAGACGTCTCGTGTGTGTGTGTGTGTGTGTGTGAATGGTTGGTGGTGGTCGGAGAGGCCAGTGGCACATACTGGTTGCCTCGCCTCTGTCAGTGTGCCCCAGGGCAGCTGTGGCTATAGTAGTGGTTGATTACTATCATGTATGGAGTGAAAGATTAATGACACCTAAAAGCGTTTTTGAGTGTCCAAAAAAAAAAAACGATTTATTATTATTATTATTATTATAATCATCTCACCAAAATTACTTACTAAACCTTTGCACAGATATTACACAAACTTGGTTCTGGTGAAAGATATTTCACTATGGACATACTGTAAATAAAACTAATCCCGCTGTAGGACATTCCCAAAATGTAGTTGCCAATTTCCCTGTTTATTTGTGCGGTCTAATTATGGATGCACAAACAGTAGATCTTTATTAAACAGTATAGATATCCCATGTCCGAGACTTGAACCCATGCAACCTTTTTGCAACCCTTATTATTTTAAATGGACCACAACCATTGGGATGTTGGCAGTAGAATTAAGCTTGTTTATGTGACGGCCTATAGGGTGGCTTCACTCTGGTGCAACATTCCAACGTAGTTTTCTCAGCAACTTGGCAACGATCGGGGTGCCCCACTACCCTACATCTTACTGACAAAGGACTCAATGACTCCTACTGAATTTAAAAAGACTATTCCTTTCCTTCTCCTAGTTTTTATTTCCAGAACAACACATTGAAACAGATTTGTAAATGGTGGAACTTTGGATCACTGTATTGTCTGTACTCGTGCGTTTGGACTCACCATGTCTAATTCTTGAGAGACTCGCCGTTTGCGCAGCTCTTCCATACGATCGCTGACGTCGCTGAAGCAGGTGTTGTAGTACTCTGCGTACTCTTGAGCAAGATCATCTATGTTGCCCAGAGAACCATCCTACAGAGACACAGAATGAGAAGAGCGTTTAGTACAACAACGTCCTACAAAATCGAGAAAGAGAATAGTTAGAAATGTCACTATTGAGATGACAAGCCATCCTCATTTTCAGTATAACTTTTCTGTAGATGGATTCCTGTGAACCCAAGCCCCAGTTTCTCTCTGTTAGATAAGACCTTGTTTGGGCTTCTGCATCCTATGTTGATTCAAAGGCCTTCATCTGCGCACAAAGGCTGGAAGTGCTCAGACAACAAATGCCAGAGAGGTCATACAGTCCATTCATACAAATGATAAAATCCAGGAACAAACCATTGCTGACAAAAGAAAGACTGCATTTCCCAAATCCTTGTATGTACGTACATCTGGTACTAACTCAACGTGCTTAATTAGTTGAGTAGCTTCGGCAATGTGTGCAGAATAGTGCCCGCTTAACCCCAGCACATTCCAAACGCTTGCTGCATGTGCCTTTTATATAGGACTAATTGTGAGTGTATGTGACGGTGGCTTTTGAAACGCTGGAAATAGATGAGCAGCTGTGCAGTAAAGTAATGTACTTGAAAATAAACCGTTTACCTGTCCTTAAGCAGAGATTCTTGTACGAGTCTGAAGTGTGTGCGTGAATGATAGGTGGGCCGATGGCATAGATTAGTGGTCAGTCTGCCCCGGGGCATATTTGGCTACATTAGTTTATGGAGAGAATGCCATGTGAGGCATCTATGGGTGTCATGAAAACTGCTCTATAGGTAGTAAACATTCTTCATGGGGAATGAAAGAGTGATTTTAAACAAGACAATGTGCCTCTATGTGATAATCGACGACACCTGTGGCCAATTATTTTATATGTAGTTCATTTCAAATCTCAAGATTGGTATAAATGATATGAAAACTTGAGTGTCCATATTAAGCGTCTTCTACTTTTACATGCCACAAAAAAGGTCATATCAAAAGCAGCAAAATAGGCTTGCAATCAGCTAATGTGTTTTCGCTTTGAGCTAAATCAGCAGTACAACACTGCCAAATCATCTGTGCATCAGTCAGAAAGGGAAAACAGAGAAAGAGGAAACAATGGCTGTGAAGTGGAACCGAGAGAGGTAATGTTTCAGGAGAACCCAAACGTGTGTAAAGGACAATACAACACAAAAAACCCCACTATATCATGGACAAAAGTTGATGTTTTTTACAGAATAGAAGACATATGTTTAACGTATGCAGTTGAATGCTGAAAATATCTAACAAAATTAGACATATTAATTGCCTTCTTGATTGTTTGAAGCATATGTGTGAGCTACAGACGCTGAATATTCAATAGTGTTGATCTAATCTGTGCCAGGCAGACAGAGAGCATTGAGTCAGTGTGCTCCCAACAGCTCTTCTCAGTCCACGTCTTTGTGGATGGGACGCTCTTCTCCGTCGGCTGCCAGGCCTCGCATGAATGGAGCCCTGTGAGCGGAGCCCAACAGACTGGAGTCTACAACCACACCGGCACATTGACATGCACCACCTATGGGCAGGAAGCACCGCCACCAAAACAAACACGCCAGCGTCACAAGAGCAAGCAGTGTTGTCAAATTCATGATTGCCAATAATTAAGATAGAAGATTAGATAAAGCAACAGCGCCTCAGTTGGTAGAGAATTGGTCTTGGTCTGTTCCCACTGATGTCTGCTGTCATCAAACCCACTTTGCCTGAAGCCCCCTCTGAAAGATCAGTGAGGTACCGGTGATATGAAATGAACTAATAAAGGGGACGAAAATGAATGAATGAAGATTATATTAAGCAGAGATTAATAAAGATGGAACTTCTCGAAGACATTTGTCATATTGTTGAGCAAGACACTGAGGTTGTCAAAAATCCGATACTAAAAATCAGCGGAAAAAACTGGAATATGTAACTTCTTTTTTGTTTTCTACATTTTGTTAGTCCCAACAGAAAGAGTATTGTTTGAGGAACATTCCATGAACCAATCAGACCACAACATGCGGTCTTCATCTTCATAGAAAACCTTTTGATTGGCTGAGAGAGGGTCGGCACTTTCTCACTGTAGAAGCTGATCTAAAGATGTGACTTAGGCCAAAAATACATGCATGTATGACACATGGGGATGGATCCAATCTGCGTTGAGAGCAGAAACAAATTGCATGGATCTCATTATGCAAAATATTTTGAAGTAACATACCCTTTCTGGGTAACATGGAAGCTAATTTGCAAGAATATAGGCAAGTAGAAGTAAAATGAAAATGATAAAGAACTTGTATATATAAACTTGTGGCACCATCAAAGTATCAATTCTGAGTTTAAAATAAGAAATTGGTATATTAAGTATTTTTTCTTATCACAACCCTACAGGATAATACATTTGCTCTTATTACAACTGCTACTGACAGGTCGCCCTTGTAGCATTGCAGGATGGGTCAAATGCAGGGGACAAATTGCCAAACAGGGATAAATAAACTGTAACTTAACTTATAACCCAGGGTCTTCATGTGTCGGTGAGTTTGAGTCAGGGCCACAACTATCTCCTTTAAAACTATTTAGTCTGCGTAGACATTGGAAGGTCTTTGCTTAATGTTTACTGATGGCTTCTAACCTTGAGCCTGTATGATCCAGGAGACACAACACTTGGTAACTACCCTTTGGGAAATGAGTTGCAACATTAACCACTGTGATATGTTTTGTGCAATAACCTGGAACTCTGATTTTGACATCTCGGATAAATGTCTTCTGCCGTCATCTCCTAAACTCCTTCGCAAATCTTCTTGGTTCACAATCGTGTTTGCAGCCGTCCCAGTGGGATTTGACACACGCATTTCCACTTTACTCCCGTCCATTGCAAAAAAGAACAAGATGTTTACATTGGTATAAACGTATTACAACCTCCGAAAACCCCAAAGTCCTCAGATTAACGCAGGACGGGTAAAGACAGGTCCGTGTTTTTTTTGTTTTTTTTTGCTGATTTCAGACGTATAGCGCGTGTTGATGTCCTGGTACACGCGCGCATAACTGGGATTCTTGTGATTCTCCAGTGGCATGAGCTCACTGGGGTACGGGGGCAGCTGACCACCTCTGCTGTGTAAGCGATCTGCCCCACTGCTGTTATGTGTGCGAGTGTCGGGTTTAAAGAAGCACGAGAGAGCGGGAGGAAGATAAGATCAGGGGAAACAAACGCAAAAAAAGTGTTTTGTGAGTGATGCAAGATTTGAATGCAAATATTGGAAGTGTGCAAATATTATGAATAGCTAAACGGGCTATTGTGTTAATCCAATATTGAGGAAAGAGGATCAAAAATAAAGGGTACAAGTCACATAGAATTAATGTAATACTGTATTAAAGAATTTTAATTAGGGCAGTACACAGCGCCGCAAATGGTGAAGTGGCACGCTCTCTGCCAAGGCAATTTCCAAGTGGTAACTTTTGTTTGTTACTTACGTGGCAATAAAATTATTCTGATTCTGATTCTGAACAACCAAGTAACCTTTTGCCAACTATTTTAGTCATTATTAATCATTCAACATAGATATTATTGAACAGGCAAGGAAGTAATTAAATTAACAAAATTGTGTAAATATTGTGTATTTTTTGGGGTATTACACAACTTTTTATGTGTAACATTTTTTTCTTTTTGTATAGCACCTTTCACAAAGTGCTTTTTGGTGTTGGGTTCAATTCCACCCCCAGACAGGGCCTTTCTGTGTGGAGTTTGCATGTTCTCCCTGTGTCTGCAGAGGTCTCCTCCGGATGTTCCGGTTTCCCCAACCACTAAAACAATCATTCTGAGCGATAATTGATGATTCCAGCAATTATTCTTCTGATTTATCAATTACCAATTAACCATTACAGACCTAATATCAACGCAAAAATAAATACAGATCAGGATCTTTAGCAATCATCACAGAAGTACATTTAAGTCATATTTAGGTAAAGTTAAAGTTACATTTTAATTATGGAAATGACACTTATCTAGCATTAGTCAATCCTAAAATGAAGTAATGGAATAGAGAAGAAACGTCCTGACTTCAGTTACCAATTGGAATTTGTTGAGGATTGCATCTAAGGTTACTGTAATAACCCTGGTAGGCAGTACACATATGGTCCTGCAAGATATTAAGAAGCAAATTCCCATTGTATTCTAACATCTCGGGACTAAAGGAACAGATTTATGATGTAACAAGTCCTCCACCCCGAACCAGACTGCAGCCAACTCCCCACACGGCCTCAAACAACAGCAACAATAGCCACAGAGAAACACCCATGTGCAGGAGAGACTGTATTTACAGTAACAGATCTCAAAGTAATAGCACCGCCGGTCCTTTCAAGATGGCGTCTTCCCAGCAGAGGACAGAACAAAGTGTCAGTTCTGTCCTCAAGACTTTGCACAATCGACAAACAGCCGGGTTTGAGAGAACATTATGACCTGGAAAACACTTGAGATGAGTGCCAGTCATGCAGTGAATTAAGTGGCTGATTTAGGGCATTTGGACCAAAACAGTTTGACTATTTATGGAGGGAATTTGGCAACCATAATGTTTTGTTATTGTTGTAGTAAAAAGGACTCAACTTGGAAACATGTCAAAATATTTACTGATAAATAGTAATATGGACATTAGTACGACTGGTTCTACTGCTTTGTAGTGTTTTATCACAATAATTTATAAGGACAAAATCTCTTTTGCCGTCTTTGTTCCAATATTAAACTACAAAAACGTCTCAAATATTCTGAAATCTTCAAATATGTTTTAGTTAATATGAGCGAGGAAAAGATATGTATTCATGAACTAGAAGAGCTTGTACCACATGCTCTAGTCATTTACTTAAACATTCCATATACATTTGTACAATTTTGAGCTTGTGCTTCCTCTGCTACTCGAGAAACCTTTTTAACCTCACATTTTTCATGGGTTAAAAGGGATAAATATCTCGTTTCAATCTGGTAGAGAAACATTCCAATATCGTGGGCATTATGTGCGGGTCAATGGCGGGCGCTGGCTTTCAGTTGCGGTGTA